CAGAACGGCTGCTCAGCCTTTGTCTGTGCTTCCCGCAATTGGAGGTGGTTCCCTGTCGAGCTTCACTGCAGAGGGAGGTGTCTGTGAGGTTGATCCCGCCTTTCCCGCCCCATCTAGTAGCCCGAAGAGGCATGGACGGAGCATCTCTGATGGTACTCAGGTGCCCTTTTGCAATCTCTCTGAAAATTCAGGTGAAGTCTCCAAGGTGATTCTCCTTGATGCGATGTTGAATGCCCCCCAAGAGTCAACGCAGGAACTTTGGGCAAGGCTTGTTTCCGATGTGGCTGCACTGCATGTGCCTTGGCTACATCTCTGGGACCCTGACATTAGTTCACTCGAGCTTCCCGTGTGGCTTACCACGTATGTCAGGGATCACAGTACTTGGCACAACGAACATGTCGTCGGCGCTGCTTGTGCTCCTGTGGCTTTTCACTTGTTCACCGACGGCTCAGCTGAAGGTGAGGCTGCTGGTTGGGGTGCAGCAGCTTTTGGTGAGAGACTCGGGGTTGAACATGCTTCTTTTCAGTTTTTAGGATGGGCTTGCGGGCCGACCACGCCGCGCATTTTCTCCTCAGACTGGGCTTGCCCTACGACCAACAATGCTGCAGAATGCCATGGGCTCTTGGTCATGTTGGGCTTCGTGTGCAGTCTTCCACCATGGGTGCCTGTTTTTCTGTACACGGACTCGATGCTCACGATGAATGTGGCCACAGGTGTTTGCGCTTGCGCTGATGGGCCACTCGGTCGTATACACCACGCCTTGCGGAGCTTTTGCCAGTTCTTTGAGCAGTCGGGAAGGATGGTCTCCTGGCATCATGTCTCTTCGCATGTTGGGATCCGTGGCAATGAAATCGCTGACCGGGCTGCTGACAAGGGTAGGCTGGGTTTCGTTGACCGCATGCCAAAAACTGAGCAGGATTGTCGATAATCCACTGTTGCTGGTTGTGGCACGCCTGCCCATCTCGAGACATGCCGCCCTTGTCGGTACTCACTTCCGGTGCTCATGAAAAACCAGACGTTCTACCGCAGGCATGCGTCGAAGCCATTGTTCAGGATGCAGCCGGAGTAGTAGCTCGCAAAGCTGCTGCAAATGCAGGGTTCACTCTCAAGGTTGCTACTGCAAATGTATGCACACTAAGGGGCAAGCATGCTGCGATCAAAGCCCAGGCGAGCGCAGCCGGCATTCATGTCTTAGCTTTGCAAGAAACCAGGCAAAAACAAGCGCAGCAGTGCACTGGTGAATGGCTACAGTTCGGAACCGCGGCCATGAATGGGCAAAAAGGCTGCGCTCTTTGGTTCCGATCGAAATGCATGCGCATTTCTGCGCAACAGTGTGCAGTTACCATTGCCCGGCCCGACCTCCTCTGTGTCTGCGTGCATGCCTCCCACATTCGTTGCGCCTTTGTCACTTTCCATGCCCCGCACAGCTTGAGACCTGAGCAGGAAATCCGTGACTGGTGGTGTGATTTCGAAAGGCAGGTTGGCAGGCTGGCTGAGAAATGGGAACTTGTGTTGCTTGGTGACGCCAACGCCCGAATTGGACCTCATGATCTTCCCAGTTGTGGCGCGCATGGGGCCAGCGCCAAAGAAAATATGGCTGGAGCTCTCTTAGTCGAACTTGCCAAGCGCCTTGAGCTGGTTTTAGCCAACACTTTCAAAGCTGTCATGCGTGATGTGCCCACATGCACATGGAAGCAACAAAGGCTTGACTATGTTGCTGTTCCTCAAACATGGGCTGCCGGGGCTTTTGCCAGTCCTCCAGACGAACTGGATCTGCTTAACCCGCATGAGGATCATCATCCGATCATACTCTCCTTTCTTGCTCCTCCGCTTCAGCAGGATGTTCGACAGTGTCGCCGGCCACTTGCCAGATTTGCTCCCCGCCAGGATCTGGCAGCTATAGCCAGCGAACTCGCTTGCACCACCATTAGCTGGGATGTGAACGTTCATGAACATGCTGAAATCCTCTTCAGCATGGCTCAAAGCAAACTCAGGAAATACGAGAAAAAACAGGACCGACTGCCAGCCAAGCCCTACATCAGCTCGTCCACCCTTGAGGCTCTCAAAACCCGCAAGGAGCTCAGGAAACGACTGATGCAGTCCGAGCGCCAACTGCAGTTAGACCTCCTCGCTGCTCCCTTCCGTCTTTGGGCTGGAGCACGCACTAGACGACCCGTGCCTGACCCGCGAAGGGTCCAGTTGCGTCTCCATGCATGTGCCGTGCTCTTAGAGTCCTTTACCATAGCACTTGCAAATGTCAAGCGGGCCGTGCGCCTGGATAAGGCCCGTCATGTGCATGAGTTGCTTGAGCAGATGCGGGAGGGTATCGCCTTCCATGACCCCCAGCAGTTGTACCAGGCCTTGCGTTGGTTCCGCGGTAAGTCCAAAGGCGTCAAGAAGCCGTACCAACCCTTGCAGGTCTTGAAGGATGCCAATGGTGAAGTCCTGCCCGACTTTGAGTCGCAACAGCAGCTACGTGCCAAGCATTTTGGCGCGCAAGAGGCAGCAGTTGAAGTTGACGCTCAAGGGTTGGTCGAAATTGATTGCGCTGGTTTGGAGTCGCCCTCTGGAGAGTTTGATTTGCGTGATCTCCCCACGTTGTGCGATTTTGAAACGGCCCTTCGAAAGCTTCAGCCAAACAAAGCGCCGGGGCCATCTGGCATTCCTAATGAACTTTGGTCCGGGCAGTCGGCTGCAAGCGCGCGTCTCTGGTACCCTGTCTTCATGAAGTCAAGGATCCGTTTAACAGAGCCTGTGCGAATGAGCACAGGGATCTTGATAACCCTTTTTAAAGGGCTCGGTGAGACTTCCAGCATCGATAACTACAGAAGCATCTTTTTGCTTGAGGGTGTGGGGAAGGCAGCAAGGCGATGCATGCGACCAACGTTGCTCAAGGCGCTTCGGGCAAAAGCGCCTGCGCTTTTTCAGGGCTGCCTGGCCCACTCAAACACAGCAGAGCTGACGCATTATGCCCTAACGTTGCTTCGAACGGCGCATGCGTGTTGCGGTGCTTGTGGGCTGGTCTTTCTTGATGTCAAATCCGCTTACTATCGCGTGTTACGCTCAAGATTGGATGGACAACCTTGTGACGATCAGACTCTTTGCTCCATCTTGCAGATGCTTCAAATCGACCCCGCGCTTGTCGACCGCATAAGGAGCTGGTTGAGCAACCCGCCACTGACTGCCGACATGTCTGACCACCATGTGCAGGTAATACGGGCCATGTTTCGATCATCTGCTTTTTTGCTAGCGGGCGTTCCGAGACTCTACAAAGCAAGAGTCGGGGTCCGTCCAGGCGACAGCATAGCTGATACCCTATTTGGGCTTGTAATGAGCGAAGCCGTTTGTGAAGCAAGGGTACTACTGAACAATGCTGGCTTGTTGCAGGGCCCGGATGCTTGCGGACTGGCGTTACCCGTGTGGGCCGATGACGCGGTGGCGCCTGTCTGGGCCAACTCAGCATGCTCATTGAAGCCCAGTCTGCAAGCCACTTGCGCTTTGCTGCACAGTGTTTTCACCAAGAGGGCTCTAATTCCCAATTACGCGCCACGTAAAAGTGAGATCCTCGTTCATGCGAGCGGTGCAGGTTCCAAGACTGTCCGGCGTGATTTGTTGAGTCGAACGCGGCAGATTCTTTTCGAGTCTCCAGAGGGCACAACTGTTGGTGTCAGAGTTGTTCCTGCGTACAAGCATCTTGGTACCGACCTCAACTCCGCTTGCAAGTCAACTCCCGATTGTCGCAGAAAACTTGCTCAGGCCACCAACGCAGTGAAACCACTTACTCGGCAGGTTCTCCGCAACGAGGACATTGATTTTTCAGCGCGCCAGCAAGTTGTGCGTTCTCTAGGGCTTTCAGTCGCATGTCATAACGTTGGCATCTGGGTGCCTAAGGGCCAAGAGGACATGACTGAATGGATCTCCGGAGTCTCGGGAATCTACCGGACCCTACTCAAGGATGATAGGGCCACTAAGCACCCGAAGTTTCCCAGTCCAGTTGAGATCTCTGGTGCTGTTGGATTGCCCTTCCCTTCTGTTCTGCTCCGGAAAGAGCGGCTGTTGCATTTCATGCGCGTGATGTTGCATAACAATGTCGAGTTGTGGGAGTTGCTTTCTGTTGAGTTTGCACATACGAAAGACAGCTGGTTGCATGGCATTGTCGAAGACTTGTCTTTTGTGCAGCAGTGGGTGCCACACTTGTTTTCAGCAGATTCTGTGCAGAAGTGTGGTGAAGGGCCTGACGCACTCGTGCCTTGGTTTGTGGAGCACGAAAGTGTTTTCCGACGTGCTGTCATGACAGCAGTTGACAGGCACACGCAGGCGCTAACAGCGTGGGCTCACTTTCAATGTACCCACAGGGCCGCTGGTTTTTCATTTGCTTCTGGGCCAAGCGGCAGCGAGACCCAAACGCTTCAGCAATGTCCGGAGTGTTCGGCCTCATTCCCTTCATGGGCGCATCTTTCCGGGCACCTAATGCGGGTCCATGGTGCCAGCAAGCTTGCTAGAGCTTACGTTGAGGGTACGCACTGCCCCATTTGTCTCTTGCAGTTTTGGAGCCATGACAGATTGCTGAGGCATCTTTCTTTTGCCAAAACCAAGTGCTTGGCATTGTTGGTCGCCAGTCGTCGCCCATGCTACTCTTTGCACAGCGTCTCTTCTGGGTTAAAGGAGCAATTGCCGTGCGTTAGACTGAGTGGCCCTCTGCGGCCTGTTGCATCTGACGTTGTGCAGCAACTATGGGGAATCATTCCTACGCTTAGTCTGCTTGAAGCGCTAGAGCTTCGCCCATCTGCAGCCAGACTTGATGAAGGGTTGTCTGATTTCATAACTTGTGTTTTCCGTGTTGACAAGGAGGAGGTCCGATCTCCAGATAGCCCCAGTTTCAACCCCAATGGCTGGGCGCTGATCCGTCAATGCCTTGATGGCATGACCTTGTCGTAATTACTTTCGCTGCATGTTTTTGTTCGCTCACCAAGAGCCAGGCGACTTTGACAGTCACGACCTCAGACCGCTGCTGCCAAGCCCTTGCGAGAAGAAGTCGCCCTGAGCGCCCGCACATGCAGGAGCCACATCGGCCAGAAGAAGCTCTCGGCCAAGGCTTGCAGGCCATGGGCCTGCGGCAGGGGGTTTAGGGTTTAGGGTTTAGGGTTTAGGGTTAGGGTTTTCGGGTTTCGGGTTTCGTAGAGGGCCCATGAACCCTAACCAACCCTTTTAGGGCTTTTCGGGCCCTTCATTACGGCTCTTCGCGCTCTCAGACCGAAGGGCTTAGAGAGATTAGGGACATGGCTTCCAGATGATAATCCCATAAAGGATGACAAGTCTCTTCGAGTTCCTGAACCCGAAACCCCTAAACCCTGAAACTCCTCCAAACATAGATCATGGCCAACAGCTCTAGACTGCGCAAAAAACCTTTCAAGCAATTACGGGCCTCCATGACCTCAACTTCCTGAGCCCTTCTTCAACAACCCAAACACCTAAGACCTAAGAAACCTCAGTCCCGAAACCATGCAACCTCATCCCCAAGCCCTAAATCGCCCAAAACTGTAAAGCACCGAAAATACCTACAAGGGCTAGAGAAACCCCTTAGATGCAAACCCTTAAGACCCTTGAGAGGAACGCTGAAAAAACAAGCCTGAAAACAGCCCTGTAAAAAAAACAACAACAACAACACCTCCACAAAAAATCGTTCTTCCCAAGCCCATGCAGAAACCCAAAACCTCAAAACCCCAAAACCTCAAGACCCCAAAACGCCAAAATCCCTAAAACCTCGCAAAAAAAAACCCCTAAAAACCCCCTAAACCCCGCTTCCTCGAGAAGGTGGATTTGGGTGCCTCGGGGTGGAAGGCGGCCCTCGGAGGCCGCCTTAGTCCGCCGTAGCCGCGGTAGCGGCCGCGGACCTCCCCCTCCGCGCCCTGGCGCGCGTGTGAGGCGCGTGCGCGTTTTTGTTTTTTGGTTTGGAGGTTCGATCTGAGGGTTTTGGGGCCTTGGGGTGTAGGGGGGGGTTTAGAGTTTAGAGTTTACAAGAGCTGTTAGGGCTTGTGGAAACAAACAGGGGAGTGCGAAGGGGGGATGATTTAAAACCCTTAAGCCCCTAAACCCCCAAGCCAGTACTGGCCCCTCATTTGAAGTCCATGTCGCAGTCTTGTGCTAGGAACTCCTCAAACTCAAAACCTAAGGCCTAAAACGCTAGACGCTTTCGTGCCTAAGGCTACTGCAAGTTTGACGGATATAGGGCCTCAAGGTTTGGGCTTATAGGGCTTACTGTGTGTTTTTGATTGGTGGCATTGCCTGAACATTGTTTGAGCTTAAGGGCTTCGGGTTCAGCTTCTCCGCAATAGCGTGTTGTGTGGAGCACAAGTTCCGTAATTCTTGCAGGCTTGGGCGGGGGCTTCGGGCATGGTCTTATCGGTCAGTATGGCACCCGCGTGCACGCGACAGCACTGTACTGCAAAAGACATCTTCTGCAAAGTCCTTCGGGAAAGCGAGATAGGATGAGCGGCTCCGATTCTTCAGTGGAACATGAAGCGAAAACAGTGAGACGATACCAGGTTTCGGGGTTTAGGGCTTAGGGCTTAGGGTTTAGGGTTTAGGGTTTAGTGGTGAAACTCCTGTCGCAGAAATCCTGAGGGTGGCTTGCCAACTTCGAGGGCGTGAGTTAGGGTTTAGGGTTTAGGGTTTAGGGTTTAGGGTTTAGGGTTTAGGAATCCAAGCCCCCCCTAAGCCCCCTCGGGCCTGGGACAATTTCTCGACTGCGCCCAGTAGGCCTTCCATCGGCCTGGAGGTACGGGCCCCCCCACCTAAAAGAAGGTTGCAAGTGAGATTTTTCTCAAAAACCCCTCCTGAATCGAAATAAGCCCGAAACGAGGGTCTTTCTCTTTGCGAAATCGCACTTTCATTCAAATATGCCCCAGATGACGGCTTCTTGGAGCTTTTCAGTTCGAGCTGGGAGGGGTCTGGGATCCCACGGTCGAGAGCCCGGACTTACCAGGTCGGAATGCGCATGGATAAGGCTTTTTTTGGGGTTCAGGGCTTAGGGCCCATGTAGTTCTCATCAGAGGGAATTAGCCTACTTCTGACTTCCGCGCCCCTAAACCCAAAACGCCCCAACCTTTAAGCCTGAACCCTACACCCCCCACAAGTCTTAATCCCGCAAAAAAAGCCCCAAAACCAGCTGATCCGAAAGCCCATCGAGCGAAAAGCCGCATGCCTATAGCTCTGTGGGTTCATTCTGAGGGTATATTCGGGGTTAGAGCCCATAGAACTGAAAAAAGCTTCTTCCGGATCAACCCCAGCTTATGGGAGGGGGGTTTAGGGTTTAGGGTTTAGGGTTTAGGGTTTAGGGTTTAGGGTTTAGGGTAGATACCTACTGAACCTTCGGGAGTACTAAGGAGCGTTTTGGATTCTTGGGGTTTAGGGTTTCGGGTTGACCCTTAGCCCCACAACATGCTCTGAACCCTGAACCCTGAACCCTGAACCCTGAACCCTGAAATCTGAACCCTAAACCCTAAACCCTAAACCCTAAACCCTACACCCTAAACCCTAAACCCTAAACCCTAAACCCTACACCCTAAACCCTAAACCCTAAACCCAAACCCTAAACCCTAAACCCTAAACCCTAAACCCAAACCCTAAACCCTAAACCCTATACCCTAAGCCAAGCGCTTTGTAGGCACCGGCTCACCGGAGAAAAAATCCCGGCCTCACCACAGCACTCGCTGCTCCCAGGGCCACGCCGCTCGCGAGGCCCACCAGACCGTCCTCCGCGCATTCTGTCTCCGAATACTTTTTTACGTATGTGGGGGGTTTACAATATTAGGGGTACCTTGTTGGGGTCCCATTGTAAGGGGATCCCCAAATATCCTTATCATAAGGCGGCCCCTCCTTTTGAGGGTACCCCAAAAGGGACCATAGCTTAGAGAGCTGACCATATATATATATATATACATATATATATATATACCTAAGCATAACATAATGTGGGCCATAACTACTAATGTGCTAGGTAGGGACAGCTCTTCCGCGTTAGCCGGAGGGGAGTACTCACCGCGAGGCCCTTGCAAAAGGGACCCAACAAACAAAAAGCATAACGCTCAACCCCGCGACTCAGAATCTGCACAGCCTATTGAAACCTGGACCCTAAACCTAAAGCCCACAAGCCAAAACCCTGAGACCCTGAATCCTCAACCCTATGGTGGCCACCCCGAAACATTCCCAGACCCGAAAACCCGAAACCCTAAAACCCAAGAACGCTGAAGCCATAATCTGTACGACTAACCCTCTCCGGGTCCTCGTTCGCTTGCTTGAAGGGCTCCTCTGCGTGGGGCGACTGTGAACTGTGAGAGTATACTTAGCAGAGCAGGAAAGCAGGTAGGGTTTACGGTTTAGGGTTAGGGGGGGTTGCTTGTTCCCCTCAATCCTCAGCGTCACCTAACCTCGGAAACTCTGACACCCAAAAACCCTGCACCCGAAACCCGAACCTCTAAAACGCTGACACCCCAAACCCCACAATCTAAACCACCCAAAACCCCAAAAACCCTACAACCCTAAAACCCTCAGAATCTTCGAACCCTAAAACGCTAAGACCCTAAAAACCCTAAAAACCTAGAACCCTAAAACCCTAAGACCCTAAAACCCTAAAACCCTAAAACCCTAAACCCAGAGCCGCTAGACCCTAAACCCTAGACCCCCTAAACCCTAAACCCTCATTAAACCTTAAACCCTAACACCTCTGAAACCCCATAAAACCCTAAACCCTGGACCCTAAACCCTAAAACCCTAAAACTCTAAACCCAGACCCCCTAAACCCTAAACCCTAAACCCTAGACCCCCTAAAACCTAAACCCTCATTAAACCTTAAACCCTAAAACCTCTCAAACCCTATAAAAACCTAAACCCTGGACCCTAAACCCTGGACCGTAAACCCTAAACCCCCTAAACCCTAAACCCCCTAGACCCTAAACCCTAAACCCTAAACCCTAAACCCCCCAAAACCCTAAACCCTAAACCCTAAACCCCTCAAAGTTCCCAAAAAGACACCAAGAAAAGTTCGCCGCCTTGACCACGGCGGAGATGCCCTCCGAGATGCCCGTGGCGATGCTCGCGTACCCCAGGTCCAAGCCTGCTTCTCTCGTTTTGTTGGGACTTCGGATGTTAGTTTGTTTAGGGTTTAGGGTTTAGGGTTTAGGGTGTAGGGGTGTAGGGGTTTAGGGGGTTAGGGGTTTAGGGGTTTAGGGGTTTAGGGGATTAGGGGATTAGGGGTTTAGGGCTTAGACGTGGTCCTCGCAAAACCCCAAGCTGCTTTAACTCTAAACTTCCTGACTCATGCGAAAACGTTAAAGGTAGGCCTGGACAAGCAACCCAAGAATACTGTCAGAAACCCCTTCAGGAATCGGGAAAAAGGCTCTGAATTCCCGCCAAAGGAACCCAAAATCGCCGGAGGTTCTCCCAATCCGGGCATCTCTTTTTAACGATTCTTTCAAAACCTTTGGATTTGGAAATACAACAAGGCACCGGCATTTAGGTTCCTCCACATGGACATGGATAGGGTTAAGGGCTTGAAGGTGGAAGAGTCGGAGTAAGGGCAGCTGCCGCCAAGGCGCCTTCCGTCAGGTTCAGCGCCTTTCGATCACCTGGCTCTCTTCCGTCGCGCGCTTTTGTTTGTTAGGTCCCAAAGCCGACTTGGTATCCCCTCGGCTCCTCTTTGTTGCCTAACACTTTACCCCAAACCCCTACACCCTACACCCTAAACCCCAAATCCCTGCACCCTACACCCTAAAACCCTAAACCCTAAACCCCTACACCCTAAACCCCCAACCCCTAAACCCTAAGCCGGATTGTGCATGTTCATGTGCTGTAGTTATGCCCCTCTTGAGAGCACTTGTAGCCCTAATTATAGCTATCTATGAACCTCCATGTATCTCATGACGAGGACCTCGGGAGTTTGGGGCGTCTTCCTAAACCCTAAACCCCCTAAACCCTAAACCCCCTAAACCCTAAACCCTAAACCCTAAACCCTAAACCCTAGGCCCTATATGAAAGCATAGTGCTCCCAAAATCCAGTTATATGTCGTACTGGGGAGCCCCGGCTGCCCATGGGCTCACCGAGCGAGCTGCCAACTGTGTCCTGGGGTGCAGGATTCTCAAGTCTTAGGGTTTTAGGTATTAGGTTTTTTTAGGGGTTTTTAGGGTTTTTAGGGTTTCTTAGGCTTTTTTGGGCTTAGGGTTTAGGGTTTAGGGTTTAAGGGTTCTCAAGTCTTAGGGTTTAGGGTTTTAGGGGTTGAGGGTCTTAGGGCTGCAGGGTTGTAGAGTTTTAAAGGGCCTTTAGGGGTTTTTGGGGGGTTTTGGGGTTTCAGGGTTTTAGGGGGTTTAAGGGTTTAGGGGTTCAGAGGCTGGGGTCAGAGGTCAAGGCCTTTAGGTTCGCGGCTTTTGGGGTTTAGGGTTTAGGGTTTATAAGGGTTAATAGTTTTTTTTGAAGGGTTTGGGATCTATAAATGTGTATCGCTGGAGACGTGAGTGTGGGGTTTCGGCTTTCATTGGGTTTGGGGTTTTCAGGGTTTGTGTAGGATATAGGATTCAGGGTTTTGAGCTTTTTGGGCTGGGGAGCGGGTGTTTTCCCTGAAGCTCGAGACCTTAAAGCGGCAATTGGGGGTTCAAGGTTTTGGGTTTCGGGGTTTAGTATGTCGTCGCTTGGGACTGGATTGGTCATGGGTCTTGGGTCTTGGGTCTAGAATTTAGGGTTTAGCGTTTAGGGTTTCAGCTTTCGGGTTTTAGGGTTAGGGTGCTTAAGGGGCCCCGATAACCCCAAAACCCCCCAAAAGCCCCTAAGACCACCGGACGACGTGCCTTGAGAGAGCCCGACACCTTCGCGAAGGAGCCGAGGGCGCCTGGGAGCGTTGAAGGGTCGTGGTGGGTGGTGTGTTGCGGGGGGGTTGGGGGGGGGGTTCGGGGTTTGGGGTTTGGGGTTTGGGGTTTAGGGTTTGGGGTTTGGGGTTTGGGGTTTAGGGTTTGCGGTTTGGGGTTTAGGGTTTAAGGTTCGGGTTTAGAAACAGCTTTTGGGCAGGAGCTGGTTGGGGGGAAGGGGTTTGAAGGACAAACTTCCAACAACAAAAGACCTGAACCCAAACATCCCTCAACCTGAAATAGGACCAGGCCTAATAACCCTAAACCTACCGAACGAGCCCTTGACTCCAAGAAAAGCGAAAACACCACACGCCTCGACCCTAAACACCTGAACCGCTAAACCTCACCCACCTAAACCCTCCCGTGTCAGCCCCTCCCAAAAACTTCGGGTTCCTAGGAGGGAATGAGGGAATTAACCCCCCCCCCCCCCCCCGCGCCCCAACAAAAAAAAGGACTGCAAACAACCTGCGCGAACTCCACAGCCGACTCCATTGGCCTCCGAAGATACCCTCGGCAAGGTCAGACACGCCACCTGAGTTTAGGGTGGAGGGGGGTTTAGGGTTTAGGGGTTTAGGGTCTGGGGTTTAGGGGTTTCGGGTTCAGGGTTCAGCGGCTTAAACGCTGAGGTTTAAAAGGGTACCTACTCGGCACCTAAGCAATGCGGGGGGGACATGGTTTTGAGGTCCGAAGTTGTAGAGGATAAGCCATCATCCTTGATGCCTACACCCGCAGGCAAAGAAGACTCCGCAGTGTCCTGCTCTGTCCCTACTTGCGCAAGCCACGACCTAACTACCCACTTTCGATACATGCGACGCGAACTCACACACGCTGTGCTTGTGGGCTGCTCTCATGCCAGACGTCCCTGTACATTATGCAGCTTCCAGGAAAAAAAGAGAACCATTCTGAGGGGCCGCCCTGAAAACACCTAAGTTAAATCCGACAACTGAACACCTGCAATACAATAAAGTCGCCCTGAACCCTAAACCCTAAACCCCAAACCCCAAACCCTAACCCCTAAACCCTACACTCTACACCCTAAACCCTAAACCCTAAACCCTAAATCCCCAAACCCTGCAACCCACAGCCCTCTGCCCCCCTGAAGAAAGTGTTTAAGGAGGCGACTGCCCAGGCCGGCCCTCTGGCCAAGCACCTCCGGCTTCCGATTTTTGAGGGTTTAGGGTTTAGGGTTTGGGGTTTAGGGTTTAGGGTTTAGGGCGTTTCGGGTGTTGAGGGTGTAGCCCGAATGGCTCAAAGTCGTGATTGCCCCACACCCGGGCCGCCCTACCAACTTAGTCCAGGCTTAAGAGCTTCAAGCTGTTGGCCGGGCTGTGGCCTTGCACTGCGAGGCTGGGTGCGTAGGAGGTCGAAGGTTCATGGCTGTGGTTTGGGTCGCTCGTGCGCGAAATTCGGGGTCAAAATCTGCGACCTGTAAACCTTACTTAAGCCCTATAAATCCTTTGCCAATACCGGGTACTCTCGGCCCCGTGTGACTTACGGACAGCGGAGAGTTCAGGCTGAGAGTTCTGCAAGCGCCCAAAAGGTGTGGCTCTTGCTTGGGGCGGCGCGGATCATTGGACGTGCCGCATGGGACGTAAGTCCACGTATGACCTACTTACCGGACTTAGGGTGGGTGGGGGGGGGTGGGTGGGGGGGGGGGGTGGGGGGGTTGGAAGAACCCTGAACCTCCAGGTAGGGATCATCTGACACTGCCGTCTCTAGGCCCTCGTGACGACAGCCTCGACTCATCATCATGGCGGCCCTACATGACGAGACTGTTCAGGGAACGGTACAATAACCAAGTTTCAGGTGCATGGGGCTTAGGGTTTAGGGTTTAGGTTTAGGGTTCAGGGCTGAAGAATTTAGGGTTTATATGTTGTTCGGGTGCACCTCTTCCTTGGTCTTGCTGAAGAAGGACATCACGCCGCTGCCGATCTCATCCAACCTCGTTTTGTGACAGCGTCGTAGGCTTAAGGGCTTAGGCGAGCAAGGGTTTTGGGTTCGCCTGGAATGAAGGGATTTTTAGTACCTTCTAGGCCCTGTATACTTATACCCTTTCAGGGAATCTACAATTATTCCTTCTTTCCCTACCAAGAACCAGTGTGTGGAACCAGGGTGGTATGGGGTTTTTGGTGCTTTGGGGGCCTCTCAAAGATGTCTCGTAGCACTCGAAGAGTCTCATGGACTTCGGCCCAGAAGGCCACGCCCTACGTAAAAATGGAAATCCCTGAGCCTGTCACATGTGCAAGTTCCCCAAAAAAACCCCAAAGCCCTTGAGATAACAGTAATCTGAACACTCAACCCCAAAACACCCTACCCACACCACCCTACAAGACCCCCCTCATAGCAAGAACTTGTGTCCGAGGTCTTTGAAGGAGGGGGTGATAAGCCTAAGCCCTACCTGGCAAACACGCTCACCGGGGGGTAATCAGCACACGTGCTACTTTGCATGAAGCCCAAAACACCAGAAGTCCCTGAAAATCCCAGTATGAGCTACTTCTTGCATCCCAAACCCTACTCCCAAAACCTCAGACCCTGAACCCTATAACCCCCACAAACCCGATTAAGCCCTCTAAACCTTATAGAAACCCTACAAAAAACCCATTGCACCCCACAAAAACCTATAAAACCTCAGAAAACTCCAAAACCCTATATACCCCCCCTGAAGGCCGCATCAGACCCTAAACCCTAAGCCCTAAACCCTAAACCCTAAACCCTAAACAAGGGGGGAAGGAACACTGAGCCCGTGGCAAGTTGGCGGGGTCACCGAGAAGCTGCAAGGAGCCGACGACCATGGCCTCGGCTTTGGGGCTTTGGGGCTTTGGGGCTTTGGGGCTTTGGGGCTTTGGGGCTTTGGGGCTTTGGGGCTTTGGGGCTTTGGGGCTTTGGGGCTTTGGGCTCAGGGGCTTTGGGGCTTAGGGGGCTTAGGGGCTTAGGGGCTTAGGGGCTTCGGGGCTTCGGGGCTTAGGGTTTACGGTTTAAAAGTTTAGGGTTTAAAAGTTTAGGGCTTGAAAAGTTGAGGGTTTGGTCGGTCTGGGGTTGGTTTGAATTTCAATCAGGGGTTTAACCATTGAGTCTTTGTGCTTTCAGGGTGTTGGTCTGGGTGCTTTGGGTTTAGTTGGCCTCATTGGACGTTTATTGGGCCTGCTTCTGGCTTCTCGTTGGGGTTGCAGGAAGTTGGAGAGGCTACCGGTTAGGTTTTAGGAGGTTGAAATTTTGAGGTTTCGCGGGTCGCCAGGGGTCTTAGACATCGAAGGATTTTGTAAAGCTTCCCGTGGTTTGAGTACACTCCAACCGGTTTCGGGTTTATAGGGTTTAGGGTTGAGGGTGAGATGGGTCCTGTTGCTGCCGCATGACCCTGTTCGATGCGGAAAAGAAAGCATGTCCACTACTACAACTACTGCAATGACCGGGAGGGGCTGTCAAACGTGGTCTATGTGCGAGGCCGCCAGAACGGCGGAGTGTGCGACGAGGACACGCCCGCCATGGCTTTAGGTTTTTGGAGGGCTCCAACCCTAAACCCTGACCCTATACCCTAAACCCTAACCCTAAACCCTAAACCCTAAACCCTGAACCCTAAACCCTAACCAAAGGCCGCTACCCAAGCCTTGGAGAGAAGAGGGCATCTGGGGCTTGCTGAGGGCGGAGCGAACTGCTGGAGGAGCTGCTGTACGTAGTGCCTGCGCGCAGAAGAGCTTCCCCTGGGAACCGGGTTTAGGGTTTAGGGTTTAGGGTTCAGGGTTTAAGGTTTAGGTTTAGGGGGGCAGTTACATGGTGTCTTCAGATGAGCCCTTAACAGGGGCCCCGTATGTGCCGCTTTTATACCCTAGAAAACCCAAGGGCCCATACTTCAGAACACTTTAAAGAAGGTGAGGGACCACACCCTTCTAGAGCTGCCTGCCTAAGTCTGCCATCCTACGGCTTCAACACCCGAGCAGCTAAACCCTACGCCCTCGAAAATGACACATTGCTGCTTAGATTAGAAGCCCTGCCTATATGCAATCCTTAGTCGCTGCCAGGTTCATGTATAGTCAAGGAGAAGGGCAAAAGATAGGAACACCTAATGAGAGAAGTTATTACGGGTGGTGTCTATTCTCTTCCCTAAGCCCTGAACACTTCTAGGGATGAACCCCAAACCCTATATACCCTAAACCCTAAACCCTAAACCCTAAACATCCCTAAGCCCTAAACCTCCTCCTTCAGCCGACCCGAAAGACCCTGAGCCCAGGGAGCCAACGGCTGCCTCATGACCGCGCCCTGAAGCACCGGCAGCACCTCGACCACTCCAGAAGGTTCAGGGGTTTTTGTAGGGATTAGGGTTAGGGTTTAGGGTTTAGGGTTTAAGGCTAGGGTTTAGGGCTAGGGTTTAGGGTAAAAGGGTTTAGGGTTTAGGGTTTAAGGTTTCGGGTAAAAGGGTTTAGGGCTAAAGGGTTCTAAGGCTTCAAAAGGGCTTCATGGTCTGAGATTCAGGGCGGAAGCCCGGAAATTGGTTGTCTGACTTGTCTTTCCTCCCTCCGGAGGGGATTGCCAGACACAAATAGCCGGAGCGTGGTCCTCGCCTTCGTCCGACTTCTTCTCTCCCTTCTGTGCTTTGCAGGTTCTTTCGTAGGCCGGGGAATTGTAGCCAAGCCCAATGGCCAGGAAGCCAACCACACCAACCACAAACCAACGCATGCACTGATATCCAGACTCACCAGAGCGGCTCTTAGGGAAACCACCTCCACACGGGTACAGTGGCCCCCAGTAGGCACCAAAAAAGCCAGACTCCAGAGGAGCAGCTCTAAGGAAACCCACCTCCCAAAGGGTACAGTGGGGTCCAGAAAAGAATATGTGCAAGGCCAGGACCAATCCAGTTGGCTGAGTCAACAGCAGCAAGTGGCGTCCAATGGCGATTAGGGTGGGGTCCTCTCGACAGGGTTGGTCAGGTTCTTAATGGGACCACAAGGGAAACTTCCAAAAGAGACCTGAGCCAACGCCTGGGTCAAAGGGTTTAGGGTTTAGGTTTAGGGTAAACGGGTTTAGGGCTAAAGGGTTTTAAGGCTTTATAAGGGCTTCATGGTCTGAGGGTTTAGGCCCGAGGCCCTCAAAGGCCCGGAGTCCAGAGCCCACTTCGAAAGACCCACGCCGGTTGCAAGCCTCGGGGATGTAAGGTGGTTTGGGGTTTAGGGTTTAGGGTTTGGGGTGTAGGGTAACACGAGCGAAAACCCTCAACCCGATTCCACAATGCGAAGCTTCAAGACTGAAACACAGGCGAGGCGCCGCAGAGGCATCAGTGATCAGCAGGGGGCTAAACCTGGCCAGCTTTCTTGCTTCGGTTGAGGGTTTAGGGTTTAGGGTTTAGGTTTAGGAGCTTATGGGCTTCGTGATGTAGGGTTGTAGAGGAGTTTAGGGGGTTTCTGGGTGCTGGGGGGTATGGGTGGTCCGGAGGTTTGGCGAGGTACTTGGGGACGTTGCTATACAAGGTCGTCAGGCGTGAGGTTCCTTGTTCTTTTTTGGGGGGTTTAGGATTTTGCAGGCCTAGGGCTTTGTGTTGCATGTAAGGGCACGAGGGGTTGCGGGGTTTGTAGGCTTTGGGGCTATATGGGGTGACAGTTCAAGGGTGTGGTCAGAAGATCCCAAAGGAGCATGTGAACATCGAAAAAAACAGCCTGCCACCCTCACAGCCTCATGCCTAAGACCTAACCTCCAACGACCTTAAACCCTAAGAACCTAAACACCGTCACACCCTAACCTAACACCCAAACACATTCACACCCTAACCTCCCACCCCTTGAAAGCACTCAAGCGCCTAAACCCTAAGCCTCCCGACGCCCCGACTCCCAAAACCCTAAACCCTAAAACCCTAAACCCTAAACCCTAAGCCCTAAGCCCTAAGCCCTAAGCCCTAAACCCTAAACCCTAATTCAACCCTAAATCCTGAACCCTGAACCCTGAACCCTGAACCGTAAACCCTAAACCCTAAACCCTAAACCCTAAACCCTAAACCCTAAACCCTAAACCCCCCAAAGCTCATCGGGTTGCCTGAAGCGGGGGTTCGTGTCGGCGAAAGAGGCACCCAAGCCTGTGCACTCCACCCCCTTCTCCGAGAGCACCCGGTTTAAACCCTAAAGCACAAATAAGGTTTAGGGTTTAGGGTTCGGGGTTAAGGGGTTAGGGGTTGGGGTTTGGGGTTTGGGGTTTAGGGGTTGGGGTTTGGGGTTTAGGGTTTAGGGTTCGCCAACACAGAGGAAGATCCAAACCGCAACTTCCCCTTCTCAGGGTCATAGGGTTCAGCGCTTGGGGTTCCACGGCGTTTTTTTGGTACTGGGTTGGCATTAGGTACGTGGCGCAACCGCCTTGCAGGTGTGAAACATGTAACCCTGACTTTCCAAGGCTTAGGTCTAGGGTTTGGGATTTGGCTTGCAGGGTTTGGGGTTTAGGGCTCCTGGGTTCAGGGCTTATCCTACTTGTACTTCAACCCTGCCAGAAAACCTACTTGCTGAGTCCCTCAAACCAGACACCAACTGACTAAGTCCCCGGACCCTTCAAGAAAGCAGTGATGAGGCTTAGGGTTCAGGGCTTTTGGGTTTCATCGGCTTGGGGGTTTTGGCTTTTTGGGTTCGGGTTCAGAGATGACACGACCAGCTTGAGAATTTCCATGGTATGTGGGACAGCACGGGGTTCTCGAGGCGATCACGTATTTCCGTTCAGCAGGTCGTGTCCCACGCGCACCCGTCGCCTTCCATGATGGAAGCAAGGACCCGGACTTGGGTACTTTCGCAGGTCCTCAAGGCATGCAGGTGTTCGAGGCGCGAGAACTTGGCCCTCGTCCCCGTCTGCGATGAGAAATTTGGGGGGCTTTCCCTTCCGGCATGCCCTCAATCTTGCTTGACATCGAAACTTGACATTTGTTGGGTTGCCTCCCAGTCCCCCATAGTCCCCACACCCCAACCCCGAATTCGACCCCCAAACGGGCCTCACGCCATTTAAACGATTTTAACCCCAATCACTCAACGACAAAAACCCTAGCGGGTGTAGGGTTTCATCCCCTCAGCCCTAAACCCCAAACAGTGCTTTGAGCCTCTTAACTTCAATTCTTGCGGCTGGAGGGCGATTCATGATCGAGGGACTTCAAGGTCCCAACACTTAGGGCTTACGGGTTGTCGGCGTCAGGGTACTCTCTTCTGGAGAGAGGGGTCTAGGTTTTAGGTTTTAGGGTGTAGGGTTGAGGGTTGAGGGTTTAGGGTTACGGTTGTCTAGGGTCTCGGGTCGAGGGTCTAGGGTCTAGGGTCTAGGGTCTAGGGTCTAGGGTCTAGGGTCTAGGGTCTAGGGTCTATCTAGGGTTTAGGGTTTAGGGTTTAGGGTTTAGGGTTTAGGGTTTAGGGTGTAGGGTCTAGGGTGTAGGGTCTAGGGTTTAGGGTTTAGGGCTGCAGCTTTTTGGGGGGCTCTGGGGCTTGCGGCTTTAAGCCGCAGGCGGTGTGAGCCCTCAACCGGCCTTAGCCCCAAAGACATAAGCATGAAGCTACCATAAACCCTCAACCCTCAACCCTAAGACCTAAACCCTAAACCCTAAATCCTAAACCCTTTGTGGCTTGCATTTCGTGCTTGATACAGTTCTTGGGGGGCCTTGACCTTCTCAACTGGCAAGTGCCTTGCGTGTTTTGTTTGGGGAGGTTTGGGCGTTTACCAAGTTTGGGGGTTTGGCAAGTTTAGGGGTTGAGGGTTGAGGAGCTTGCGGGTTGGGAGGCCTTAGGGATTCGAGGTCAGGGTTCCGACAGAGGCCCTGGCGGGCAAAGAACTCGATCAGAGGGCGCAGAGCGCCAAATCGTGAGCAGCTCTTCCTGGCATTGGGGCCTAAACCCTAAACCCTAATCCCTAAACCCTAAACCCGAAAACCCGCAGCCACGTCGGGCAATACGCTCCTGGTACCGTTCCCGACGTACCCTTAGCGCAAAACCCAAGCCGCAAACCAACAACCCCCAACCCACGCTTGATGTATGCAAGGATTACTCATTATCTGCTCATTATAAGGGGATAATCCGGGTGGTTATTTCGGCCGCTGTATTACAAGTACGTAGGCTTCAAAATCCTCTTGCATTGCCTCGAAGAAGTGTGCATCTAGACCCTAAACAAGAAAACCGAAGCCCCTGCAAAGACCCTGAACCCTAAACCTTAAATTAAGGGTACTTCGAAAAAGGAACTCATATAGCTCTCTAAACTAAGTTCCTCAACAATCTCCAATCTACGGCTTCGCAAAAGAAAAGGGACCGGTTTAAGGTTAAGTCCCCAGCTCAAAACACTTAAAACCCATAAGCCCAACAGGAACCACAAAAGGGAGCTTGATGCCAGCCCCCCCCCCCCAAAAAAAATGTAAAAATAAGAACATAAACGATAAGAATAAGAATACGAATCGTTATGATAATCGTAATGTATGCACAATGAATAAATAGATTTCTTGAAAGAAATATTTGTATATATATATATATATATATATACAACAAATATGCAAACAAAATAACTAAGCCCTGATAGCCCTACGGCCTGAGCTGCGAGGCCATGTTCGCTGAGTCCACATCGTCCTCCGTGTCGAGGCTGGCGGCCTCCCAGCTTGAGCTCTAGGCTTATCAAGAGGGTTTAGGGTTTAGGGTTTAGGGTTTAGGGTTTAGGGTTTAGGGTTTAGGGGGGTATGCAACCTTGGTTCCCTAATACTGCTACTCCCTAGGTACCTACAGTACCCCCTTGAACCCCCCCCCCCCCCCCCCGCTAGAGGATTGGGACGTCGGAGGGGTGGAGGGTGGGGGGCCTTCACCTAGGGTATTTAGGGTTGAGGGGGAACCTATAACCCAGAAAACCCTAAACCCGGAATCCCTAAACTTCAGATGAACCTAAACCCCTTAAACCCCTAAACCCCTAAATGCCTAAATCTGTAACTCCCAAAACCCAAAATGAACCCTAAACCCCCTAAACCCCTGAATCCCTCAACCCGAAATCCCAAAACCCCAAAACCCCCTAAATCCCTAAATCCCTAAACCCCACAAGAACCCTAACCCCCCCTAAATCCCTAAATCCCTAAACCCCACATGAACCCTAACTCCCCCTTCATCCCTACATCCTTAAACCTTGTTCCCTAACCCCAAACAAACCCCAAAGGCCCCTCTAAGGACCCCCCAAGCTTCGCTTGCCTTGATTTGGTCGCCTCTGCGGCGCGTCAGGCGCATCTCCTGGGATTCAACTTTTTGGAGATAAAGTCTTGAGGGCTCTAAGGGATTAGGGTTTTAGGGATGGATTTGGGAGGGTTTTCGGGATTTTTGGGGACTTTAGGGCTCTAAGGGATTTGGGGGTTATAGGGATTTTGGGGGATTTTGGGGGGTTTCAGGGCTTCGGGTTTTGGGTTTAGGGGGGGTGGTGTGTGGGACTTTTTGGGGGGTTGGGGCTTGGGTGCTTTTGGGGTTTGCTTGTTCTTGTTCTCTTTTTTGGGTTTAGGGTTTAGGGTTTAGGGTTTAGGGTTTAGGGTTTAGGGCGTGATGGACCCAGGGTGAAACCCAGGCACGTGAGAACCCTGGAGCCTCTTGCAACCCACAACTTCCGAAAGCCGTTTCGTGGAGCAACCCTAAACCCCTAAACCTTCAACCCTAAACCCTGAACCCCAAACCCTAAACCCTAAACCCGAAACCCTAAACCCCAAACCCCGAACC